CTAAACGGCTTAACGTGTCGCTTAGCCGGTTTTACCAGCATATACAACTCAAAAGAATTTACCTTTATGAATTTATCTAATTTTATGAAAATTTGTCATTTAGCAGGTTTTTGCATTACACCCTCAAAATATCGCTTAATAAATAGTTTCAAATCTTCAAATAAAAGTATAAATTAAAATTAAAGTTACAAAGCTTTATTAGACAAGAAGAGGCAGTAGAGAGAAGATACTAGAGATGAATAATTATTCTCCTAACGTCGCTATGAAGATATGACGATCATGGATGAATTACGTTATCTTTTAATTCCTAATTGAATATTAAAAAATTATCGCTCTTAAAAATACCAGGGTCAAACAGCAGCTTGATGCTACTGTGTTTCGTATAACCGGAGACTCGTTCTACTGGAAATGAGGCATTCCATCCTAGTACTCCGGGATGACAGCGCATTCTGCATTTAATTATTAATCGAGGATGTCTATGGGCCACAATATCCTCTTACCATCTAGTTAACTCCTAAAGAATGTTCCAATTAGAGGTTTTATTCTTCTTTTTCAGACTCTCCCATAAAATTGGTTTCTGGTTCTGCCTTCAAGTAACGGTAACAGAGCGTGCACTGGACAAAGACACAAGCAGAAAACGACTTATCAGTGCTATACTACTTTTTTAGAAATAAAGATCTGCAAGAAAATTGGTGATTTGTCGGCATCGATATACATATATGTACTACGCATATGACAATCCGTACACTCACTATATTCAACTGAACTGTACTGCAATCCGTGCATCTGTTATAGTGGCTTCGATATTCATGCAGTGCGGAGCGGCGCTAATAATGTTTTTATGCAAAATAAACGAAATTCAAAAAAAATGTACTGCGCTCATAATGCGGGATGGTCGGCGGAGTGAATATTGTTTTTAAGACCGCTGGTGCTTATCACTTGCTTATGCATCGCCTTCTTGTTGCATCCGTCGCTAGAATGTAAAACAAGTATGCATCCTGGTCCACCATTTAAGGTCCGTTAAGTGTCATACACGGCGTAACGCAATCCAAATCTGGGCGTAAGTGGCACCATCAGATCATCAGACAATGGTCTGAAGAGCCAATAGGAGCATCGACGAGGACCTGATATTCATCCGGATGAGAAGTAAACAGATGGTACTACATGGATAGTAGTCAACCACTTCTGGAATCCGTGTATGTGCAGTAACGAGTCATGTTAGAACTTTTTTGTTGCGCGGAAATCCTCATCCTCATCCTGGATACATTTTGCTACCGGATCAAATCACGAAATTTGCAAATGGGATCTATTTTACTACGAAATGTGTAGTCCTGGCCCAGACTACGCGCAGCAGCCGGAACACCACATATTGTGTTATGTATATTCTGAGCATCCACGTTCAGCAAGAGTAAGCCTAATCGACCAAAACCCTTCAATTTTAGTTTAGATAAGTTGATAATTGTGAACTTGTTTGTGGTCCGAAGTTTAATAAATAAAAAAAATAAAAAACCTTATAAGCTATTTGCTTGGAGCGCATATTGAGCATGGTCCTGAGCTACCTGCATCCATCGACTTCTTGAATGTCTTAACAGATCACCACTTCATATAATGGGGGCTACGCTCTACAGTCTTTTAACTTAAATATACGTGACAGAGCCACGCTGCAGGGTATATTACAGTCTTAGCACGAGTAGATGCCATGCCATGCCAGCCAGGTGTCTAGCTGCTTTTATTAATACCTAGAAAAAAGTTCGCTGCATTGGAATTACTTGCTTTTGATAATAATTGAATTATTACAATCTCTTAATATCTTGCTGGATGACAAATTATGATTATTTTTTGTAGATGATAATTATATTTATCACGATTGAAAATGTTGATAGACGTATTACATCAGGCGTTATTAAGTTTTATATTGTGTGATACCCGCTCGCTTCTCTAAGCGCACGAAAATATTTTATTGTCGAACCAAGATGTAAAAGATCAAAAAATTTTTTTTGATGGCAGTGTCACAAAATCCGTTCTTAGTGAGCGTCTACATTGCAAAAGTCAGTGCTATTTCGCTTATATATATTTATATATAATATAGACTAGCTGAACCCAGCAGAGTGTTGAGTTGTGTATTGCCGCGCTTGATACATAAACAAAAACAGAAACAGAAACTTTTTTATTCAATGTAGATTATAGCAATTAACAATACTTATTGAAAGTAACTTTTTTCATTTACCACCTCTGTTCTGGGAAGAACCAGCAAGAAACTCAGCGGGACTATTTTTTTTCCAATAATAGTTTACAATCATGTAAACAATTAACAAGACAAGACAAATTAGAAATAGCTTAGTAGCGATCACTCTTCCCAGGGGTTATTATCATCCATAAATAAATTGAATAAAAAGCAAATAAAATCAAAAATTTTAAATTGTTTATTTCAAAAAAATATGTTTTTTAACTTTTTTAAGATAATAAATATAAACCTTCTCTATTGAAAAATATATGATATATGTAAACCAATTTTTATAGTGATAGATCAAATAGATTTGAGTTAAACCATTTATATACTTAGTATATAGATTACGTTTTACATTGTATATTATATTCTAAATTTTAATATTTGCCTATATATGCAGAACTATTAAAAAGAATCGCGTGCAAGTAGTAAATAATGTACACAGGATTAACGACTCCATGTGGACAATAAGTCTATATCGATAATTGGGATGTATTAATTGACTGACATTGGATGTATGAATCATTTTGAACACGAGAACCTTACATATGATCTCTAAGTCTGACTAATTTTTTTGGATTTGTTTTTTTAATACATAATCCGTCTAATGTACGACACAAAGTAATAATTACAATAATTTGTTTTTTTGGATTTGTTTTTTTAATACATAATCCGTCCAATGTACGACACAAAGTAATTACAATAATTTGTTTTGTTTTAAGAGGGGAAGGTCAAGAGTACTCGGATACCTAGACGTGCATATATGAAGAAGATAATGAACCTGAAAGAAGCGAAAGAGGTATGTAAGGATCGTGACACTTGGCGATCTGTTCTCTCTGGCTACCCCGTTAGGGATTGTGCGTGAAGATAATTACAATAAAGAATAAATAAATTATTTAAATAAAAACTGCGACGGTTAACTTGTTTAAAGGCAAAACAACCTATTAAATTGAAGTTTCTTCCATTAATTTTCCATTTTTAATAAAAGGCTTTTTGAAGCAGTTGACTGTAGGTTATACGTGGTAGAGCCACGCCGCAGCTATATTATGGTTGTGGCACGAAACGGTCGGCTCGACCGGAGAAGAACCACGCTCTCACAGAATACCAGCGTAAAATTGCAGCTTAATACTGCTGTGTTTCGTATGGTGATTGTAGTGATCCGGAGACCCTTTTTTACTGGAAACGAGGCATTCCACCTTAGTCCTCAGGAGTGACAACGCATCTGCATTTTGATTCTTACTCAAGGATAAATGTTGATATCTATGGGCCACATATCTATGTGACAATATAAATGACATGAAACTAGGTGCATTATAATTATAACTTTATAATGTTATTGTGAACTGTAAGAAATAAACATTTTAAGAAGAAAACGACTTAATATACATTACTACTATACCTTTACTTTTTTATTTGCGGGATAGGTAGGGAGGATTTCTTACTTATTATGGTTGTAGCACGAATGGGTCAGCTCAACCGAGGAAGGACTACGCTCTCACAGAATACCAGCGTAAAATAGCAGCTTAATACTGCTGTGTTTAGTATGGTGAGTGTGGAGATACTGAGACCCTTTTTTACGAGGAATTCCATCTTAGTTCTCAGGGGTGACAATGCATTTGCATTTTGATTTTTAATTGAGTATATATGTGGATTTATATGAGTCACAGCATCCACTTACCATCAGGTGGACTATGTGCTCGTTTGTCACCCTTATTCTATAAAATAAAAAAATAAAATAGGTCACGCTGCCATATTGCATGTTAGAAGACTTTACATATCTATGAAATTAAAAAATTATAGTTTCTTAGGTGTGCAGGTTTCCAATGAGTCCGTTTACACAATCCAACGTTTGACTGTCCTGGACTACCTTGAACCTTCCTGGACCGTCCAACCCATACTCGTATAACTCGATAAACCAAAAGCTTAGAGGAAAGAAAGATTCCCGAGAAGCTTCATCGGACTGGCAAGTGAAGTACAGGGCGATCTTTCACTAGATAGGGTGATAACCTGGTATACATATGATGTGTGTCAGCGAATTCAGATGAGCCAGATTTATGGAAGAGGTCTACTTATTTCATTTAACTCAATCAGCCCAGTACAGTTAAACTGCACACAATCATGAGGCGAGATACTGTAAATAATAATATAATAATGTACATTTGACGTTTAGTTTTCTTATGTAATATCCATGGCAGCTCAAGGAGATTGTTATTTTTAATTTCATTCCTCAATTGACACGTGAGGAGGTGATAGAAAACATCGGTGGAAACCTACATCTGAGAAATTAAAAAAAATATTTCGTAGAGATTAAAAGTTCTAACATACAATAATGCAGTGCATTTTTGGAAGTAAGCAAAAATATACTAAAACACATGAGATGTGACTAATGCACGTGTACCTTATCACAAATAGTGAAATGCCCTGTAATAATAACTAAGATACCATATATTACTAATTTATTGATTTTTAATGTCACATTTATCACAAAGCTAAACACGGACTACAAAGCAAACGTTTTTAAAGAGGTGTAAACCGTTTTCGCGACAAAAGAAACAATAAACTACTTATAGATAAAGAAATGACGCGGTTACATTTTGATTGACTTTCACAACACACTGCACTGTCTACACCAGGTCGACACCGACTATATTACATCGTTTTTAATTGGACTAATTTAACCGAAAACAACATTAGAATTAGCTACGTTCAAAGGTGATTGAACTCAGCGATACTTTATAGTTTCAAATGTTTGAAATTGGTGATATTTCTTCAACTACGCCTTAGCAATATCATTATTCGTTTTGTTCTGTCGTTTTGCAGTGATATACTTTTCTAAGCCCCATGAGAGTGCCGTCAGCCACGTGAAAATGTTCAAACAATGCAAAGTCACAGATGTAGTTGTGTTATCTTTGATCCATCCTGCAAATTATAAAATAACATTCTACATTTTTTGTTTCTTTGTTCTAACTATATTAAAAATAATCAATACTTTTATTTTTTTGCTGTATCGTAAGAACATCCATCACTTCACTTCATCTTGTCGATGACGTAAGAGACGACTACGGAAAAGACCAGGAAGACTTCATCATCCCTAAAATGCCATCTCGTTTACTATAACAGAATAAGTGAAAAACAGACGGCCTCGTTAGTTCAGTGGTTGGAAATTTTCGGTAGCACCCCGAAACAGGAAATAGGCAGTGGCAGTGGCACCTGGAAAGAATGTAAAGCCGGTGGTTTTTCGCCTGATCCCTCTTCGGTCGTGACAGTCAGCAAATTTATATTTTCATGACTTGTTTATAGTACGTAGAATTTATGATGATAAAAGCTCAATAAATTTGCATACTTATTAGTCTTTTCGGAGAAATTAATTTTTTGTATGATAATTCGTACGAAGCCATGTAAGTAAATAATCCAAATCACATGATGATAGCACTAAAAATGGAACCCAATAGCCTAAATTGGAAATAATAATAGCTAATTTCCTAATATATCTTAACTATTTATATTTTTATTAATATTTTATTCATTTCTTACCTACTACGGGCCCTAGTGAAAGGTAGACTATTCCAGCTGTAAGAAGTTGGATTCCAGTAGCACCAGGCAATTTGTGTAATGGCACATGAGTTGGAATAACTAGAGCCATAAATACGGTTCGAAGACCTTTTCCAAATCCTATTACTACTGCTACTAAAAGTACTACTGTGTAGTGTTGACAATACGCTAAAACTAAAACAAAAATTGTAAATAAAATACTATATTATACAGAATAACCCCAAGGTATGTCTTGTCAAATCTGAAAGTTATTTACCTACTCTCCCCATCGCCATAGACATAACTCCAAAAAGAAAAAAGGAATTGTTCTCCCAACCAACTTTTCCAGCTACAAATGGAATGCAAAATCTAACACAGAGGTCTACTCCAGCCAATAGTGACATAAAAAATGCCACTTGAGGTTTCGTCATACCATAGTCTCCCAAAATGAAAGGAGTAAGTATAGAAAAGTTTAACTCATTAAAATTGGCTAACGTTATTCCCAACATCAAATTAATAAAAGTAAAATCCTTTAAGAGGTCTAAGTCAAAGAATAACACTACTTTCTCCCAAAAAGATAATTTTTCCTCTTCAATTCCTATATTTTCTTCTTTATTTTCATCAAATACATTGTCTTCTACCGGATTGTTTATTATTAATTTAAATTTATCAGTATAGGTTTTATCTTCATTTTCTTTTATATATTGTTCTAATTTTAAGGAAGCTTGTTTAAGGACTTCACTCTCGTAATTAAAATTATTAGACTTTCTCCTATACCTCGTACGATAAGATTGGTTACTGTGATTATCTTTTAAATAATTTTTTTCTTCATGGTCTTCTTGATTCTTTAACGAAATGTTACTATCATTGTCTTTATTGTAATTTTCTCCATATTGGCCATCCATTTTAAATGATTTAATACTTTTACTACCTGAAAAATGTTTTTCAGCTTTATCGGCTATATATTTAGCTTTCTCCGGGTCTATGTTCTCTATGGCCACCTTTTCATCAGCTTTCAAATCTTGAGGAGCTTTAAGCGTAGGGCAATCTTCAATTTCCGACTCTGGGATCTGAGTATTCAAATTGATAGACGTCTTTCGTTTTGGCTTAAATGTCTCTCGCTCTTGAGCTAATGCACCTAAATTTGCGGATGAGTTTTTCTTAGACTCGTTAAGATATAAAGTTGATGATTTCCGTGATCGATTTTCTAATAAATTGGACATGGAAGGTTTCTTAGAATTGAGACGAGAATTACGAGTAGACCCATCCCTCGAAGAAATATGACTCTTTGATTGTCTTGACTGACTGAAATATCCATCATTGGCTCTTACCATCATAGGTATACCGGGATCTGTTATTTCGTAACCGGGTGTAACGGGATCATCTTCGTTATAGAGGTATTGACTTGAAAATACGCTTATATTTTTAATCTTCGACATTTGACTGAAGTAACCGTTTTCCTTATTCTTCTTATCGGTATGCGCGTTAAGTCGTTCTGAAGTCAATAATTTCTCCTCATCTTGTTCTTTGACATTAGGTGACTTAGAATGCCACTCCACTGGCTGCAATAAAAGTGCGCAAGCTATTGCGTGAAGTGAAAGTCCACTAATAATGAGAATCGTGCCAGTTTCTCCAAAAACGGCAAACAGTCCAGTTATTATGTGCGGCCATAACATTGGTCCCATCCCGGTTGTAGTCCATGATAGACCAGTCGCTAGTCTCCTTCTTTTTTTCCAATAAGTATTTAAAGCGAGAGCATTTGCAGAACTACTAATACCGTATCCAGCACCTGATGAAAACAAGATTAATTTTATAAATAAATGAAACAATAAGAAACTTGTATTATTTAAAACGGTTTGCTTACCATACAGAATTGAAAATGATATCAAGTAAGTCATAAAATTGTAGGAAAAGGTTGTCAGGATCAATGCTATAAAGACCACGATTGCACCCGTTAAAGATACTTGACGGTAACTGAATGTTTTGAAGACAGGTCCGTTGGCTAATCCTGAAAATACAAGTCAATACAATTAAACACTCACAATTAAATTGTACTCTGCTTTTTGTAACTCATACAGTTACATTGTAAATTATTGGTTATAAGAAACAAGTCATACAGATTTCCTATAGATTCCATGCTTTAAGCAACTGCTACTATGGAGCCTGGTACTCGTTTTGATTACTACTATTTTATCGCCGAAACCGGCAACCCGCAAAAACGCTTGCAACGAATTTGTTTTTTTTTTCTTTTCATTTTTATGATTTTGGTGAAATTTCTTATAGGGAAATTTTGTTGAAATTCACCAAAAACATAAATGTGGAAAAGTACTTTTAACAAACGCAGCTACATATATATTTGTGGACTTAACAATACTAAATTAATTAGATACAGTATTCTTATGACTGTACAGCATCCATCTTAGTCGCCCATCGCCATCGTTAGTCGTTAAAACTCGCCAGCCATGAATAACGTCAAGTTTTCTGAGAAGAATGTCTTTTTGCGTAATTTTTGTCGTTCCTATTAACACTTTACCTTACATTTACATTACTTACATTACTTTTTCTCTGCAATAAAAATTAATGACTCATAATTATCTGGGATGAACAGCTATGCTACTTATTTATTTATTAGGAAGCCAACATGATATAGTACAAAGAAAAAATGTTTATACAATTGATTGATTAATGATGTTGAAATTCAAAATTATTTACTCTTGTTTCTTTTTCCATAAGAGTCAATCTGGAATTTATTTTCATTTGATTTTGGCGATGCGTAGTATTTTAATGTTTAGCATCTTCTATTTTTTGTTTGATATATGTTGTATATCATTTAATTTTTAACGTATACTTTTTGTTTTGAGGTCTGGGCTCACTGATTTCTCTAATATATTACTTATTTCATCTCGTATTAAGAATATTATGGTATGATTTACAGTTGTCTGCCTTTGTGTAGGAGACGAATATATTTTATCATTTTTTGTAATTGGTGAGGCCACGAGGCCTTCAGCTTGGCATCGGCTCTGTTAAACTGAGCATTTAAATGACTTTACATTTAGGGATATCTTCTTAACTGTACTGGTAAAACCTACGCATTAAACAAGGCCGGACGGGCTGTGCATTTAATCTTATCTTTTTGAAGTAGTCGTATTACACGAATTGCAAGACATGTTACTTGTATTTTTATATACAACTTTCAATGATAAAAATTAATCTAATACCAGTAATTTGTTTACTTTGTTTTCAATATTACTTTATTTCATTATGTCTTTAATAAAAAGATAACAGTGATATTAGCCAATTTGTAGTTATAGCACTATTGTGTAAATTTTAAAGTATTCAGAAAAAATTTTGTTTTTTTTGTATTCGTTGTATGTGTACATGATGGGGACGATTATAGAAGAAATAATGTGGGGATTTATGTTTTCATTATCTGTTTTGGTTTGGTGGTTTATCGTTTGTCACCATTATTCTATAAAATATGTAAATATGTATAACGGTAGATTTTTATCAGTCAGATGAGCTTATAAACCTAGATGAACTATGAGTTCGTTTTGCACTTAAGTTTTATAAAAAAATGGCAAAGTAAGGAAAGTTTTGAGATTTAAACAATTATAAAAATTTGTAGGTTCACAAATTTTATAATTGTTTTTAATCAACATTAACTTTAGCCATTTAACGTATTTTCAATTTACATGTCAAAGTAACTATACTTTACCATTGTAACAACCTGTCATTGATATTTTGTACCTAAGGAGCACATAAAAAAATATTTGGAATTGGCCGGTATGGTATCAAACAGTTACCATGCAAGGCGCGTCACGCACCGACGCAAGAGGTCAGCGCCGAGTTCATGTTGATTATTGTCGTTGTCTCCGAGCTGCCGATGCCGAGGCGAGCAAACTTGTCCCGGAACAGGAGCCCGAACTGTTGGAGCATCGGCAGGGCTGATAGCTGTGTAGAATTAGATGGAGTTAAAAAAAGTCGATTGTGAACCGATAAAATACATCTAACATTATATTTTAACCCTTATTGTATTTTCGTTCTTGCTATTCAACATAAATTTTGTGACCTAGCAGCACAAGAAAATACAACAATCATAGAATCAACTAACAACTATCACAGCGTGTGCGATGTACGTGTGAGTGTGATGTGTGAGCAAAGCGCCTGTTCATTTTTATTAGCAAAATAACTTTAGTAAGAACTATTGCCGTTAGATTAATTAACAATATTAGAAAGGTGAGTGAATGCTGAGAATAATATGATTGAAATTGTAGCAAAATATTATACAACATATAATGTGTTGTTTATTCAACAAAAAAAAAACTATATAGCATATATCCCACCTGACATTCTCTGTAACTGTTCGTAAAGTTATGTCACAATCGGTTTAGTCATTTTGAATTATTTTGAATCATTAGCCCGGAACACTGACCTCTTTATATACTACTTGTATATATAGAGGTCAGTGGCCCGGAGAGACAGACAGACAGTCAGTCAGAGAGACAGATAGAGAAAATAAAAAAAAACGGTTATTTATGTCTTATTGGCATACAATCTAGTTGTTTCAATATTAAGTACAGGCGGACTTTATTTAAGATAACTTGATCAAATACATCGATAACAACAAATAACTATAGAGAAAAATTAAGGAATGGCGAAATTGGATGAAAAATAGACCTCCCCATCAATCGATCTTCACTGCTATATTAATACGGAACCTTACGTTTATCGAACAAACTATATATAATTATTAAATACCACACTTCTTGCAACAAGAAAGCCGTAATTTGCCAAAGAAAATATCTTTAAAGGAAGGCTGCTAAATCGTCTTCACTTAAAAAATGCATCAATAATAACTATCGCAGATGATGGCAGAAATGTAAAGGCAATAATGTAAAATGTAGCAGTGAACTAGTATAGCCATAGCAGCAACCAGCGATCACAATAAGTCTTATAGCAGGCCTCTGTCACTCTTACTGCCTGCGTGAAATAATTACCTACAATCGTAAGACGACCCGAGCTGCATAAATAACTACGTAGTAATATTATTTATTTTATTGTGTGACGTTACACTATAGTGCAGAGTTCCCCAAACTTTTTTGTGTCGTAGACCCCTTGCCATGTTTTTCCGTGTTGTGTAGACCCCCTAATTACCTGATATTGATTTCCTGTAAATTTCTAACTGTAGTGAAGTTTAGTGTTAAAAACTTAAAGTAAAAATATATGTTAATTTATACATTTATTAATTGAATTTAAATTAAAACTACTCAAAATAAAATTTTGTATCTGTTATGTAAAATATACGTAGCATTAAATAAACATAAAATAAACTACAAATAAAATAACATAAGCAATAAGTTAATATTTTAGTGAGAAGGATGAACTTGATGCTTTAATAATAAATTATCAACATTTGGCATCAATTTTGTAAGGATTAATCTCTCTGTTTCTTTTTTTCGTTAGGAGATTGGTAATAGCGCTGAACCCCCTTTCCACTAGGTATGACGATCGAAAGGAAATTAAAAATTTCCTCGCTATATTCCAAAATACGGGATAAGTAACGGGTATGTTGTTTTGCAGCCAGAATTGATGATATCCGTTTTTAAACTGAACCTTAAGTTCTTCGTTTGTACTTAGTTCAGTCAGTTCCTCTTGTATTATGACATTCGTTTCTTCTATGTCACCATATGGATTAATTATCCACGGTGGTATTACCATAGTCAAAATATCCTCAAACCTAGATTCAAAATCTGAATAGAGGGCATTTAAATGTTGAACGTAAGTTGAAAAGTCGTCTTCCTGGCAGCTTGTCTGTGACAAATTGGGGAACTGAGAAAATTCGCCCCGTCCAATATTTTGCTTCATTAGTTTAACTCTGCAAGAAACGCTGATAAGATGGACTTTGTTTTAATCAAATTTAAACTGTCGCCTTGTAATTGCAAATTAACCATATTTAATTTTGTAAACAAATCTGTTAAATAGGTGATGTCTGTTTTCCTCTTCCTTAAATTTTCTTTTAAAATTTTATCTTTAGTATCCAGAAATTCTAAAATAGTCTCAATAAAGTGCAAAAAATTTTGTCAAACATAAGCCTTTCGACAGCCAGCGTACTTCAGTGTGAAGGAGTAATTGATGAAAGTGTTTGTCATTTTCTTCACGCAAATAATCGCGTATTCAACGCGTTGCTTCGGATTCGGTTTACTGCATCAATGACTAAATGAAGTGATTCATGCAATCTAACACTCAAATTTTTAGCAACTAAATGTTGTCGATGGATGACGCAATGTATTGCTAACACCCCTGACACATTTTGTTTTAAATAGCTTATAAATCAACGATAACGTCCAACCATGGCAGGTGCTCCATCTGTAGCTACTGATATTATATTTGATAAAAGAATATGAAGTAATCCTTCAAAACATGAAATATTGATTCACCATTAGTGTCGGTTATCAAAGTTCTTGCGAAGAGCAGTTCTTCGAAGATTTCTTGATTCATAATAAAACGAACATATGCCAATAATAATGCTGCATTATCAGGTAAAGTTGACTCGTCCAGTTGTATAGAGAAGTGGGTCGTTTGCAAATAATTACATAAGAAGCTTTCAATATCAGAACTCATTTCATCGATACGTCTTTCAACAGTATTGTTGCTTAAGGGAATTCTTTTAATGATATCAGATGCAGGTTTGTGTAAAACAGTTTTTAAAACCTCTTCAACGGCTGGCAAAATTAACTTCTCTCCGATAGTATGCGGTTTTCCGGATTTTGCTATAAGTAACGAGATATTGTAAGACGCCCGCAAACCATCATCATTTCTTTGTGACGTCGAAGCGAACATTCTGTCCAGTGTAGGTCTCTTCTGAAGTCTATCTTTGAGTGTTTGAAAGTATTTCAAATCTTTCCCTGATTTATCAGGGTGGCATCTTCTCAGATGATCTTGCAGTTTAGATGGGCGTCATTCCCCAAAACTTTGTTGTATAAAAGGCACATAGGCAATTGTTTGTCCGGCAATGATGGAATGAAGCCAAATTTCAAATAATCGACATCGTACTGTCTACATTTCTTTTTAGATTCGGACATGGCATCAGTCATCTGTGGGCAAAATTAAGTTATTTAAATAAGACAGAAAATCCAGCAGCTGTATATTAAAAATATTTTTTGATTTTTCCGAAAACATTCCATAATTCGAACATCTTCTTGCAACAATTAGCTCGAATTACGGAGATTGCACTGTAATTATAATACCGATTGCTAAAACTTTCAAAAAGAAACTATTGAGGAGTACTCGTGTAATTTTGCATGATTGAATATTAAACTACTAATAACTAAAGTCATGATTGGCGTAATTTATCTATCTTTGCTAACTATGAGTACAAAACTAAAATTTAATAAAAAATAATGTACTTACTTTTCACCAGCACTCTCAAACAAAATAACACTGACTCACTATAATTTGTGTGATATACTATCTGTTTATATTTTTTAAAATATTTTCTTAGCACTTTCCTTTTCAAGATTCAGGAAACGAATGAACGTATTTGTCCCACATTCGTATTTATAGAGTGACGAATTGAACAATTCAGTGCAAGGTAGCGAAGCTCTGGGACTGCGACTCTCAGATTTTTACAAGTTTAAAATGTATTGCGACCACAAAGCGAATACCAACATCCTACAACTTACACAATATAATTTTTTTTACTTCATATGTACTTTTATAAATAATGTATATGTTTTGATATTATAAGATAGTATGATATAAGTAAATAGGTACTATCAGTGTATGTGTTGAGATCCACTATCGTGGACCCCCATTTTCATTTCATGGACCCCTAATTTTTTTTTCGCTGACGTAGACCCCTTGCAGGTTGTCATAGACCCCTAGGGGTCGATATAGACCACTTTGGGAATCACTGCTATAGTTTATTATCTATTGTCATATTATGGTTACACATTCGGGGTATGGAGTATGAGTCAGGGCAGGGCTAACGCGTTGTAAGGGCGATATTACACGGATCAACCAAATTGAAACAATTCCATTGAAAAGCATTGAAAATTGCACATCGCACTGTTTTACCAATATACACGTATAATCATTTAAATGACATTCAATGTTCATAACGCAATGCGATTTCGGGCCAACTCGTACGTGCGAGAATTTCGTTAATCTGAGACTATTCAATAAATGAGTTAAATAAATTTAAAAAAAAATCCCGGCGTTAATGCGTGCGCGCGTGTATTTCGAGAAGGATAACTAAATCTAAATCGGCAGAAGAGGATCCAAATTCATGTTTGAACCATTTGTGAATGACGGAAAGTCAATTTAATGAACTGCTTGAAAATGATACACTTGTCTGACTGTCACGCTACTTAAAACTCATTTTCGAAAATCCATGTGCGCAGGCGAAATAGGTGCGCGTGCGTACGCATCGCTGTCGTGCGGTGCGCGAAAGGAGTCACAGTTCAATCTTCATTGTATACACGTTTCGACCGCATTGAACAATTACCAATATTGCCGTGTATTTAGATGTATCAACGCCATTGAAGCAATTAAATTGAAAGCAGTATTGAACCGAAATTGAACCGTGTAATATCGCATTAAATGATTGAATGTTAGTTTTTAAACGCTGTTTACGTAGGTAAATAGTTTAGTGCTTACTATTATATATATACTATTATATATATATATATATATATATATATATATATATATATTTACATTACATTACATACATTTTTTGGGTAGGTACCTACTTATAGTAAAAAAAGAATTAAATTATAGTTTAACTACAGAAGTAATATCTAAGCACTTTATTACAAATGTTAGTTGAAATTTTCTTTTTAAAATGTTTTGAATTATTATAACACGATACAAAATAGTGAAATTAAAACTTTGTTAACAATATTTTAGCTAAGTACCTGGTATACCTATCTATTTTTTCCGAGCCCATGATCGCGATCCGCGACGAATGGTCTTGCAAGTTGCATTCATTGGGCGTCACAGAACACATATAGTAGCGAAAATATGCTCAGTCGATCATAGTTAGAAAAGGTGACAGCCCTTAGTAACCAAGGAAAGCACATGAGTAGATAAACGGAACAGAGGCAAAAGCTGCTTAAGAGTGTGCAAAATTTTTACCTATTTTGATAGGGTTGTCACAATAGGTAAAGACAAATTAAACAAAACATTTGTTAAATAGTTTTATAATTCGCGAAAGTGATAAGTAAGTATAAACGATCCTTCCTGCTCATCTCGCAAACAAAAATGTAAAGCTATAGTAGTAATGTATATTAAGTCGTTTTCTTCATAATTTTTTTATTATTCGGTATGACAAGTATACTTTAAAATTATTTAACTACTCTGATAATTTTATTTTATTATTTTTTTTTTTGTTTTTTAATAATTTCTTGTCCATTTTAATCATTTGGTAAATTCTGAATCCAAAATAAAGTTGACTACAGCTGTTGAGTAATTCCCTTGAGAGGAAACTATCCTGTTTGCAGAAGCAGTTTATGGTAAAGATCACGTTTAGCAAACAAAATTAAATTTAAATACAAAGTTTCGAGTCCATGTTACTAACCGTTAAAAGGTTCCCTCGTATGGAGGCAATGCTAGCTGCAACAGCATTTCATGATAAAAATCGTCTTAAACTATTAAAATTAACTAACATACAAAATTTCGTGACCCTGCTACTATCCGTTGAAGAGTGACCCTAGTAAGGTGACAATCCTGACTGCAATAGCAGGTTATATCTATCATATTATTGCATTGTCACTGAAGTTACAGTATAGAAAATTTCAACTCAATCGGACATCGGAAAGTGGTAAAAATCTTACTTGCAATATGTGAATTGTGAACTTAACACACATACCTACTACATACCCACCAACCCACATACCTACAAATGGTTATTTAAAACTTTTAATAACAATAAAAATGTAAAACCACTCCGTGAGTACCCTCTTCTCGTTAAAAAGGATCGTACAATTAAATATAGGTCGTTACTTGAAAAAGTAATAATCAAGTATTTACTTACCTATTGTAGTCCTGGGATAGTTAAAGTATGATATAATTTTTTAAGTATTATTCATACACACAGTACAATATACAATCATTATTAATAATACCACGTTTTTACATTAAAATATTCAAACTTGCAACTAACAAAACAAACAATGTGCGATGCACTGACCCTGAGACTGTCCACTGGCTGTAGCACAGCGTAACCGGTTTTTTCCAGTCTCGCCGCGTGTACGCGATAAGCGACCAGTGGTCACACATGCATAACGTGACCATTTATTTTTTGACTCAAAACGGGACATGGGTTTATTTAGGTCAATTAACAGGTGGAGTCAGAGTCAGTCAATAAAAAACACTTTTTTAAAGTTATTTATTCAGAAAAAAATATTTATCACAGGAACAAATTTGCTTTAATATAGCTGGTGGTGATATTAAGTAAGAATGAAACTCTTGGCACTTTTTTTTATATTCAACAAAATTATCAATATCGCCTTTAGAACTGAAATTTGTAGTTCGTCAAAAACTTCTGCGTCTTTATTACATTCAATATATTCCTTTTCAATTAATACATCCAGAGATTTTTGAACGTCTTCCCATGCGGGAAACTTTTTTAAATCTGCCCAATAAAATATCTCCATTTCTTTGTCAAGAAAGCAAGTCCACTGCTCCAGATAATCACGGCTTGTTTCATAAAATTTTGTAGCCGCCCTTTTCATCAATTCTTCATGTATGTCAGTAACAATATCTTTCGATTTCACTTTTAATTGACGGACCGTAAATGGAAGAAACTGATTGGTCTGTTTGTCAAATTGTGTTTTATTTGATTGATTTTTTTTGCAGCTTCAATAGCCGATACAGTTTGAACTTCAAGATTCAATACAGCTTGATGAAAACTTGCTGACTGAACACGTTCAGTCAGCAAGTTTTCATCAAGCTTTACACGTAAAAAATAAAACCATAATTCGGATGTGGGATCTTCAGAAAAGTTTTTTAGTAACAACAACACAAATTTTCGCGCGGTTTCAGAAAACGGGACAATTTTGCGTCCCAGAGTTCATTTCGGGACACCGGGACTTGTAACCATAAAAAGGGACAGTCCCGTTCAAAACGGGACGTCTGGTCACGTTACGCATGCATGCCCCGTGTGCTTGTAGTAGTACAACGAATTTTATGAAGCTTTATCTCTATTCCGTTTAATCTACTCCTGTGACGGAAAGTCCGCTGCGACTTAGGAAAGGGAAAAGATGCAAAGTAATATGGACATACATGCGCAGTGATAAAGTTTTATTTAGCTTGCGTGCGCGATTTATCTATTTAATAATTATAATATGGGCTACAAAACGCCGGCAAGCAGTCTAGCTAGATCAAAGAAGTGCAATTTCTAGTAGTAAAATTACTATAATTTATTCTATGCTTATATGTCGCAGTGATTCAGGTCTCCCTCTAGACCTGTACGAAAAAAATCGACTATGTTTTTATTTTATTTTGCTATATACAACAGGCATTGGTACTCAAGATTTAATTAAAAATAAATTATTGCTACTACAACTATTGGGATTACTTTTTGTAATTTAATGATACATTCTTGTTCAATATTTTAAAACCTTTCATTTTATGTAACTGTCCGTAATGTGATAAAATATGTTTTACTAGTTTCCTTAGATTTTCTTTGTTAGAATTAATTATTTAGGAAAAATTTATTAATTAGGAATAGGCAGATTCGTCATAAGTATAAAAACATTTCATAAAAATAATAAGTATAAAAATAATAATTATATGTAAGTATATTACGTGTGTGTAATAATATCATAATTTTTCTTAATTTGTATATATTTTTATTAATATTATTTCATATAGATAAAATACTTTCACAATTGTAACATAGTGTGTGCGTATGTGCACTTACATTGGAGAAGCCAGCTGCGAACACAATCATCCAACCCCAACCACCATCCGGCGGGATGAATTCACCATCCTTCTTCACTTTCGATTTTAATACTTTATTTGATTTCACCATCATCTAAAACTATTTTAAAACCGTGAAATTAACTGTGTAACGGGCGCAAATTTACTTAACACAGTTTGTCTTGAGAAACAGCTTATTTAGAGCAGTTCCAATAAATAAATGGCACCTCGATCTAATAAAACATTACGAATTGAACTCATAAGTCATATATTAGTGTACACAATCTTGCTGAACTGAGTTGAAGACTTCTAAGAGTAAGTAACCACTACGTGTTACGCGCTTACAATGAATTATTAAGCCATTATAGTACGTATATAAATCGCCGACGATAATACACTATGCATATTATATATACATAATTGCTTATGCACTTGAATCTTATCTGAGTGAGAAATAAAGGCATAGTATAAATTATTTTATAGTTCGTCCATAATCTATGTGGATAAAGTTAAATGATATCGTTAGTATTTGGTAACATAATTTTATAAATAAAATGAACGCAAAGTTCTATTACAAGTTTTTTATTCACAAGTAAATCCTTCAAGATAATACATTTTTCTAAATCACGGGCAAAATTCTGCGAAGGTGTTTTTAAATGTAAGTTACATAATATTTTCTTAAACTTTGGACGAGAATTAGGCTTCCTGCAAACCTGATCACCGGAATTCCACCTAATGCCCCACGCAGTATGACCGATTATACAAATGACTTGCGGAACGAAATGAATGACATTTATGACCACCTCAGACAATCAAGCCAGCAAATGTTTGAAAAGATGAAAACCCGGTATGACCGCAAAATGAAGAACAAAAGGTTCGGCGAAGGTTCACTACCGGATACAAAAAGGTGCAAGAGGTACTCCTAAAATCGTCCATGTGGATCGGCTGGCGCGTTATTATGGGGCCGATAATACTCGAGACGAGCATGTCGTGGAAAACGGCAGTGTTGCGCGCCATAATTAATACCTGGTACATTTCGAGTACCCACTAGCACCCTCTAGTATCGAGTATCAGAATTAGGTGAGCTTTCTAGAAAATTCCATACTAGAACTTTCTACACCTAGTGAGTGGGGGCCGGTATGAATTCGAACATTCTAGATGTTTCAGTAGAAGAGGTCCTATATAAGGTCAGTAAGGGCCGCAACCGTAGACTATTGAATTAGCGATACAAGTGATTACTTCGAAGCGATTAACTGCGAACTAAAGTGATCATTTTGATAAATTTTTAGTGTGTGAAGTTTTTAAAGTGTCAAGTTTGGTAATTCAATCGGCAGTTTTTATTGTCACGAACCCCAAGCTCTTAACAATAGTGATATCATCTCCAGATTTTATTAAAATTCAACAATAGATAACATACCGTCAAGCGACGCGACGGTGTAATAATATCCTCTAACCCAAATGGTTTCGTGGGTGTCGTAAGAGGCGACAGAGGATGACAAACTTGAAGATAGTTAGCAGCGTCTTTCAAATAACAACTAGAAAAAAAAACTGCGGATGCCAACATGTTTGGTCAAATATCCCCATTATAAGGAATTTTATTGGGAGGCTTAGGTTCTGCAGTAGACTTTTATAGGCTGTAATGATTGAATGAAAAAATAACATAGTAAATAGGTATATATAGTGTACTGCCGCCAACTTATCTGTTCAGGTGGACAAAATTGGAACTAAGGCCGCCATTTTATAAATGACATTTCACTATAAGTTATTATTTATTTTGTTATTGAGGTAAACAAATATTTTGTGATGTGAGGAGAGTGTTTTATTTGATTTCACCATGAAAAGTGTGTTTCGTTTGATTTCATTGTATGTAGTCACCTATTTCCTCCGTAAATTTCATAAGTGGCAGTGGTAAGCTCTCCACTATCGACTCTGTCAACTGAACAGTGAAGTTGGTGGCACTATAATAGGCAGTTTAGACAAATAAAATAATTATTTGAACTAATAAATAAAGCGCTAACGTGAAGACCCTTAACATAAATTATTTTGCCCAATCGTGCTATATTACGAGTATTAATTAGCGATTTGTTTCTACTGAAAAAATGTCTCCGTATATAGGTATAAAATATTTGGGTCAGTCACAAATTGATAACACTATTCGATGCATTAGACCAGATATCACATTATCTACAGGTTTGACATTGTCTACAAAAGGTTATCTACTTCTGTTAAGTTTTATCAGGTTAATAAGAAAAACATAAGGAACTTAACCAACTTACGAATGTTTTGCTTTTACCTTTAAATATAATTATTTTAATAATTTGAATGAAATAGGCTTAATGTGTTAAATCCCTGACATATCGAGTGCTTTGCAGCACCCTTGGTCAACTACAAATCAATGTTGTGAAATGAAAATGCAATTTTTTGAATTTAAATATGGACTTTTCATGTAAAAATTTTCGTAAAATCTGGAACACCATATTTCACCTTTTAAGGGTTTGAATTTTCTAGGATCCTTTCTTGGTGCCTACATAATAAAAGGAGTTGTCACAATATCACACTTTTAAAATCTATTAGCATTATAATATAATCGTAGAGTATGTGTTACAGTAGCATGTAATAAATACTCTAAGAATATAATAAAGCGAAAGAGATTTTATTTTTATTTTTTGAACAAGCTAATCTATGGAACTACCCGACCGATTTGAAAAATTTCTTTTTGTATATTATAGTCAGATTCATGAGGAATAGTATAGGCTATCTAGCATAAGACTACACCTCACAACTAGCCTTAAATATTGATATTGTTAAGCTAATCAGAAGAAAAAGCACCCTCAAAATGATTTATCAACGTGCGCTGGCGTATTGGGTAGTGATACGTAAGTACAATGTTCCACAAAAATATAGATCTTTCCTCCGTCTAAAAAAAGTATACGATACCATATGACTACTTCTTATTCTTATATATAAGCCACAGTAAGGTATTTTGTGACAATAAATTATTAAAAATTAAAAAGTGATTTATGAGCGTTATTATTAGGCATGGCATATTAATCCTTACGAACGAAATTCTATTATCAAGACAAATTTATGAAGATAAACTTTGCTCTTTATAGCATGCTATTTACATGCATGGTATATGAGATAATGAAAAATTAAAATAATTCAACACTCAACTCGGCGCGCGAACGACCCATTAAACGCTAGCCTAGCTATATAAGAACGGAAGGAAACCAGCCGTGGAAGCTTCTATTAGTTCAAACCTTCTATACATAGCAATGTATGGAAAAATTGGCAAAATTAACGGAGTACTTTCATCTATCAGCAAATGTACGCTACAAAAGAAATTTATATTATATTCACTCTCCCTCCCCCTCTCGGATGAACGTCACCCGCGCCCAAGAAACTGCCCAAAACGCGGTTTTTTTCACTTTTAAAGAAAACCGTACACGATACATGCAAATTGTATTTGTACGACATGATCCTTAATAAATTTTACATACAGAAGCGATATGATCTACAGTTTTGGCGCAATCTGCCACGAAATATGAACATTTATTGTTTTCATTTTATCATTTATTGATTTTCTTTGGTCAAAATTGAGTTTTATTAAAAATATCCAAATTTATCGCAAAGATATGTATGTAAATTTAATTCATTTGGCCATTCTGCGAAATACAAAAATTTGTAATGCATGTAATAAAAATTTTGTATTTTAGCTAAAAAATTGGCAAAATTAATGAAGTGGAGCAAAAGGTTATACCTCTTTTTTAAGAGAATAATATTCTATTCTTTACTTTAGTCATATATGTCTTGGCATTTAAGTCGGAATTTTTTTTAAGAAAACTAAAATTTCAGCATAAAAATCGATAAAGATTAAAAATGTTCATGTTTCGTGGTCGATTGCGCACAAACTATAAGTGATATCGCTTTTGTATGAATAAGAGATTGATAGCAAATTTATAAAGAATAATTTTGTTCTTACACACTTTTCAAGTATCAAGTACGATTTTCTTTAAAACTTAAAAAACCGCGCCTCAGGGCATTTTCTGAGACGCGGAGGTGTGATGTTCTCCCGGAAAGGGAGGGAAAGTGGATAAAATTTTACTTTGCTCTATAACGTACATAATATGACGATATTTAAAAGTACCCTATTGGTTTTGCCAATTTTTAGCTAAAATTCTTGAACCATATGAGCGGGGTGACTCAGAGGTGTGGTATACGTGGATAAAACCGCAGGGCACAGTTAGTCAGATATTTAATAATTAATGATTGTTTAGGTATTTGTATTTTATGCGCTGCCATACCGTTCATCGATTTGTGGTAAATTTTGTTATTGCTTGCACTTGTTCGAAGATTATAGCATAGTAAAATTAACTTACAGGGGGTGGTGCGCGTATCGTACCGACAAATTTATTTGAAATTTATATATCATTCAGTTTCAATTATAGTATTGTTACGAGCTTAGGGTTCGTGACAGTAAAAACTGCCGATTGAATTGCCAAAATTGACACTTTAATTACCGAACACCAATTAAAACTTAAAACACACTAATAATTAAACTTTATATAGGATCTTTTCTAAGGGAAACATCTAGAATGTTCGAGTAGAATGTCGAAAGTTCTAGAATGGAATTTTCTAAAAAGCTATCCTAGTTCCGCTACTAGATGCTAGATTATCGGCCCCATAGTAACGCGCCAGTCGATCCACATGGACGACCTCCGGTCTGAGCAGGGGGGTGATGTAGCGGCGCTGTTGTTGCGCCACAATCGAAATACACCGAAGTCTAAATTACGCTATCAACATTCCGAATCAGAAACAGTATATATAGAACATCTCCGAACTATCACATGGAGTGTTGGCCGCTCCCCGGGCAGAACACCTTGCCCGGCGGGAGATCTCTCCTTTTCCTACCACGGCCACACAACGATTTATACACATACATCATTTAAATATATTAATGATACACAACTAGCCAGCTATACACGAATACCTAAGCCGTATGCACGAGGAAATAATTCTGCCAAATTTTTCAGCTTTATGCATTTCACAAAAGCAGCAATATTTTTTTATGTAGTAATGAATTTGGAAATTTATAGATAATCGTGTCATGTC